AGGGTTCACATATGGACTTTGACGGATGATAATACTAAAAAACATAATATAATGAACAACGGTTGACATGTCAAATAGTCGCAGTAATCATAAACTGCATTATCCATGTACGAAACAAATGAGATTAACCTCTGTTTCTTAGGGTTACAACCGAGAACATATATTTCTGGCTTGGTATTTTCTGAGTCGATGCTCATTAACATTTTATCACGACCATTAATGAAATACAATCTTGAATACAGAGTATTTTTATTATGCTCATTTTCACTGTATTTGTTCAAAATACGTTGAAGGAATATGACCGAATGTAATTCCTGCTAGTGTTTATTCTAGAATATATGATTTATACTAGATTCACTTCTGCAACTCGATATCTTTGCTTTTTCTAAAAGAGATGGAGAAAACACAAGAAGTTTGAGTATCCATATTTTCCAATCATATATCTTATTTAGTAAATAATGTCGTAAAATATAGTATCTTCTGTAACATGTTGCAAAAACTGCTATTAAAGTCGGATAAATTCACGATAAATAAGTTTTTAGATTTGAGACCTTCCGTTAAAAATGAGATTAGCTTTCCAACTTCCATATAAAACAACAAACGAAAATCCAAATGGCATCTGTTCGATAGATAGCATATTCGAGTCTTTCATCTCACTTGCATGAAAAATTTATAACTTTTACAAATTGCAATGTGTTCAAATCCTTTGCATGAAAAATGAGGAAAATTTGTTGGCTAAACAATGCAGGTAATGATCACTAGTATTAATATTAGTTGAAAATGTAGACGACAAATTATAAGCTCACGTATTTTTTTTTGATGGTAACGGCTCGTCTACATAGTTGTATCCAAATTTCAACACTGCTTTTCTGAATATATATGAATATGAAACACAGAAGGAAAATACAAGAAGAATTGCTTGTAAATAAGAAATGATATGTTACTGCGCAAGGTATTGCAAATGGACGATATTAAATTAATTTTGTTGGGCTTCCGATTGAATAGAAAAAAGATTAAAAAGTTATATATTATAGACCAGAGAGAAAGACATTTAATATGAGAAAGCAGCCCACGAGTGTAAAGGAAATGACACTGGAGAAACATCATGAGTTCTGAGAATACTGGTAGTTAATGTCCGCAGAGGTCAGAGAAGAGTAACAGAAACGGTGAAAAAGGTGATATTTACAAAGACGGAAGCAAATACAAACTTCATCGAAAACAAAGTTCTTGGAGCTGTTGCAAGAGTGTTGTCAAAGTTACATGAATTAAACGATGATGTGAAAAAGAAAATCTCAGAAAGTTAAACTGTTGATAACCAAAACAAATGTGATGTAGAACCTTTGAGCTGCTGAGAGGATAGTT